TGCTTTCTGTTTCCCGATTGCTCTAGCTAAGACTTCCAGTACTATGTTGAATAGGAATGGTGAGAGTGGGCATCCCTGGCTTGTGCCAGTTCTCAGAGAAAATGCTTCCAGCTTTTGAATGTTCAGCATGATGTTGGCTGTGGGTTTGTCATAGATGGCTCTTATTATTTTGACCTATGTTCCTTCAATGCCTAGTTTGTTGAGGAGTTTTAACATGGAGAGATGTTGTATCAAAAGCCTTTTCTGCATTTATTGAGATGATCGTGCAGTTTTTGTTTTTAGTTCTGTTTATGTGATGAATCACATTTATTTATTTGCATGTGTGAAGCCAACCTTACATCTCAGAAATAAAGCCTACTTGATCATGGCAAATTAGCTTTTTGATGTGCAACTGGATTGATTTGCTAGTATTTTGTTGAGGATTTTTGCATCTATGTTCATCAGGGATATTGGCCTGAAGTTTTCTTTTTTCATTGTGTTTCTGCCAGGTTTTTGGTATTAGAATGATACTGGCCTCATAGAATGAGTTATGGAGGAGTCCCTCCTCCTCAATTTTTTGGGAAATAATTTCAGTAGGACTGGTACCAGCTTATCTTTATAGGCAGAATTTGGATGTGAATCTCTCTGTCTCAGGGCCTTTTCAGGTTGGTAGGCTTTTTGTTACTGATTCAATTTTATAACTCGTTAATCTATCCAGGATTTCAATTTCTTCCTGGTTCAATCTTGGGAGGTTGTATGATTCCAGTAATTTAACCATTTATTCTAGGTTTTCTAGTTTGTGTGCACAGAGGTATTTGTAATAGTCTCTGAGGGTTTTCTTGTATTTCTGTGGGATCAGTGGTAATGCCACCTTTGTCATTTCTGAGAAAGACTTTTTTATTATTATTATTATTATACTTTAGGTTCTAGGGTACATGTGCATAACGTGCAGGTTTTTTACATATGTATACTTGTGCCATGTTGGTGTGCTGCACCCATCAACTCGTCAGAAAGACTTTTTTAAAAAGAATTTCACAACACTCTTTGAAATATTAACAGATGCACTAAGGTGTTGCAAATGGAGGATTAGAACCCACCATCGTAGATCCAAGATTCTACTTTGCAAATATGCAGTTTTTTGTCTAAGACCTACTAGTGTTACTTTCCCAAAATGTTCACATTCTGTTTTTTTCTCACTCCTGTTGACATATGCTTTGTTCCTCATATAAGGTGCAATAAAACGTTCTTCCAGTAGTCTTATTTCTCTGTACTCCTGGGCTCTTCTGGTGACATATATACCATTTTTACTTATAGTTGTTGTACTAGTTAAGCTTGTATTATGTGGTATTATTTTCTATGATCTCTACCTTAAGGCACTCACCAGAGGTCTTTATACTAACTGTTGAAAGATAACTGTCATTATATGACTAGTATTCCAAACTATTAAACCAGAATTACACTAAAAATAAATGTATTATCAAAGATTAAACATTAGTGTAGAATGTACAGAGGCATACCTCAAATTATTGGAGAAATTGTCCAAGAGTGTAAAATATCATTTAATACTCATCTAAACATTCATTCAAAGGAACACTTGAACTTATTTATACTGAAGGAAAAAAAACTTGCTTAACCTTTTTGCTGACACTGAAAGGGTCAATTTAGTAATAACTGAGTAAGTCAAGACATGTAGGCAAGGCAAACCAAAGATAGAGGGAATCCATACTGGGTGGACAACCTGAGCAAAGGTGTAGGGCCAAAGCCTCATATGCATTGCAGAATGTGAGAGGATTGTAAGGGTCAAAAACAAATGAGAAATGTTGAAAAGTAATAAGAGAAGAAGTAATACATGGTAAGATAATGAAGACATTTGAGTTACTAGCTCTAAAAAAAGAACTCAGTGTTAAAATTAAGTTTGTGATGCTGTATTGAGGTGAGATTTGTCTGTATTTTTCTCTTTCAGAACATTTTAAGTTTAGCTCAAGAGAGTAGTATGAACTGAAATTTCAGAAAAAGTAGAACAGCTAAATGCCAATTCATTTGAATAGTTATATGATGCCGATGTATTTGTGGATATACATTGTTAGCAAAAGGGAGAGGGACTGGAGTCTTGAGAAGTCCTGTGCATAGGAGGTGGATTACTTCCACTTTGTTTGGAAAAATGGAACAACTTTCCTTGTTCTCATCTGATGTAGCCATCTTTTCCACTTTCCCGTGGAAGAAATAATGTGATTCATCGGGCCAGAGTCCACGAGCAAAGGTCTAACGTGATGATGATGCTGTGACTCTTGGCTCTTTGTCAAATATGAATGCTGCCTATGTGTGCTAAGATTTGTTCAATGCTCCTTCCCAACTAAGCGTTGGAAATAAGCTGGTTGTGTTTGGATTCGTTGTGAGACTTGATAGCCTTCTAAGGTAGCAGAATATGTGTTCGATTTACATTGGTTCCATTCTACTGAGCAGGATGAAATAACGAGTTAATCTAGGCACATTATTAAAAAGGGAAAAAATTGACTTTGACAAAATCTGTGTTTTATCTGAAGTATAAATCATCTCATCAAAACCTGGCAAAGTTCACACAAAACACTAGCAGTTGGCACCCCAACTTGAGCATTATGATCTGGGGTGTGGTCACTCCTTACTCTTTTGGACAGTTACAAAGTTCTCAATGAAAAGGGAGCAATGCAGTCCAGCCTAACGAGAACCCAAGATCTAGTTTTGACCCTACTTTTAACGTGCTGGGTGCCTCAATTTCCTCATTTGGAGGAATTATACTAGCTGATTTGTAAGGTCCCTTTTCAGATTTTGGACAGGCCACTCAGTATCTCTGGGTTTTAATTTCGCCACAGTGTAACAATAGCAGTCTGAGATTCAGGAAGTTTATAAAAATGTCATCAAGTTCTTGGAAAGTAAAAAGTACTATGCACATACATTCAAACTATAGCCTTAGCTGCTGAAGTATGAATAATCCTTACAACCTGGTATCCAAGAAAGGGTTATTTTTCTTTTTCCTAAGGCCTAATTGCATCATTTTCTGTGGTTAGATTGAGGCTGTGCAGGCTGATTTTGGGTGGCATAGAATAAATTCAGTGTGACGATGTTGGGGAGCACATGCTGTACAAAAGTGATGATTGGTATTTGTACAGGCTAAGTCTTTGATTAATGAGAAATAGAATGTGAATTATTAAGTTGGTAAATTCAGTCTTTTCAATAGTCAAAATGTTTTTAAAATATTAAATCTTTGGAGAATAAAGAAAAAACATAATTCAGGTTCACAATCCTTTATCTAAAACCCCTGGGGCCAGACATGTTTTGGAATTCAGAAATTTGGAGAGGAGGGTTAGAAAATAACTAGGATGCCAAGATTATATATTACGTAACTTCTTCAGTGGGGTCTTGATCAACACCATTTAACTGAACACATTTCTTCAATGAAACACGTGAATAGTCACCCTAGCGGATTAAATGAAGATTGAATGGCCTCAGGATGGTTCTGACTGGGATATGTTGCCAGATGAGTTTGAGACAAACTTCCAAAAAAAAACAAAAAAGACCAAAAAAAAAAAAAAAACTACAGAGTTTTTTGGTTTCTGAATCATGGCTAAAGAACTGTGGACCTATATTAATAAGCACTTGTTGAGCAGTTACTATGTGCCAGCTTTAAGGTTGTGCCATTTACGTAACTGATATGATTTGGCTCTATCTCAATCTCATGTTGAATTGTAATCCCCAGTGTTGGAGGTAAGGCCTGGTAGGAGGTGATTGGATCACAAGGGTGGTTTCTAATGGTTTAGCACCCTCCCCCTAGTGCTGTCTTGTGATAGAGTTCACTATCACACAGATCTGGTTGTTTAAAAGTGTGTGGCACCTTCCCCTTCTCTCTCTTCCTCCTGCTGTGGCCATGGAAGACTTGCCTGCTTTCCTTTCACCTTCTGCCATGAAAGTTCCCTGCGGCCTCGCCAGCCATGCTTCCTGTACAGCCTTAGGAACTATGAGTCAATTAAACCTCTTTTCCTGATAAATTCTGCAGTTTCAGATCTTTCTTTATAGCAGTGCGACAACAGATTAATACACTAACCTTTGTAAATAACTCAGCAAGAAGGTAAGTGTTATGTATCACTTAGAAACCAGGAAGATAAGGCTTGAGTATCTTCAGTGGGATGCCAGAGTCACAGAAATGGGGTTTGAACCTGGTTCCTTCTGGCTGCAAAGGCAAAAGACAATGTGTTTCCTCACCACTTGGTCAAGATCTTTGGTTGGTGTGGTTATTTGCCTCTGTTGCCTTAGTAGTTTAAAAATAAATGTCTTGAGAATTTGATTAAGCTCTTTCTTCTCATTCTCGACAGTCTCTCTGGGAAAGTTCATCCAATTGTCACTTATAAGCTAATGACACCCAGATGGGTCTGTACCCCCATCCTGAGTATCACACTTAGAAATCCCACTCACTACTGGGCATCTCCATGTACTCCCAGATGTACTCCCAATGGAACTAATCATTTTTCTCCTCAACCATTCTCTGCCTTCCAGCATTCCCTATTCTACCATCTCAGTTACTCCTAAGACAAAAACCTTTTTCCTTCGCTCCCTTTCCAACTTGTCACTGAGTAAGACTTGTGGATGTGGCACTGGAAAGCCTCATAGAGGAGGCTGGGTGTTTTTGAGCTGTAGTAATTCAATTTTGCCAATGAGAAATTTCAGGTGCTTTCACCATACCCAGACAGTGTGTATAAAGCAAAGGTTCTGACCAACTTAGAATAGCCAAAATAAACCAAATTCCATCTACCTGCCCAGTAATAAACTACTAAGTATTGAACAGTAAGATATACTTTTTATTCTAGGCTACTGTATGTTATTAAGCTTCATTTTGGGCATTTGGGGGTGTGTGCTGTGATACTGAGTAGCAAAGTAGACAACATGTTTTTCAAGAACAATGCCTCTAGTCACCAACACTTGCTGGGAATTTGGGTATGATGCTAAAAAGGGGAAGTAACAGCCATCGATGTTTTCATTCCCATTGTTAGGTAAAAGGCCAAACCTGAAAGTCCACATCAATACCACAAGTGACTCCATCCTCTTGAAGTTCCTGCGTCCAAGTCCAAATGTAAAGCTTGAAGGTCTTCTCCTGGGATACGGCAGCAATGTATCACCAAACCAGTACTTCCCTCTTCCCGCTGAAGGGAAATTCACAGAGGCTATAGTTGGTAAGGTGTTTGGGTATCGGGCTGGGAAGGAAAGGAGGCAAGAGGTGGTGGGTGTAATATGACCTACAAATCTTGATGTCAAGAACTATTTTTTTTACATCCTTAGTTTAATCAAATGGTAGAATTACAAGACATCTTCATAATTTTTGCAACTCGTAGCATAATTCTTTACATTAAAAAAATTATTACGTGCAGAAATAGTTATCTTCATTGTCCCTGGCCATATAACTCAAAAATTCGTAAGGAAAAAAATAGATGAAATGTCTGGGATTAAATCTCTGTAAGATATTATGTTATGTGGACTAGTTTTCCTTCCTGCTGTATCTTACTGTCTTTTGATAGTACAACTACAGCATTTTGAGTGTCTTTTCATGAAAAGCTACATTTTTAAAAAAAGGAAATGTATTATATTTTTAAAAATTGAAGTATTTCAGAGAAAAAGATTAAAGTTTTTCCATGTATTATAAAATTTTATATTTCTTTAAAAATGTTTTAAATTATGTTAAAATGTAAATGGAGGATGTGGGTCACTTTTGAGCCTTCTCCATAAAAATTATTTGCAAATAAAACCATTTAAGAATGATTTTTTTTAAGCTTGGCACAATGGCTCACATCTGTAATCTCAGCACTTTGGGAGGCTGAGGTGGGAGGATCACTCGAGTCGAGTTCTATCTAGACAGCCTGGGCAACATGATGAAATCTGCTCTGTACAAAAAACACAAAAATTCACCAGGAATGGTAGTTCATGCCTTGTAGTCCCGGCTACTTGTAAGGCTAAAGTGGGAGGATCTCTTGAGCCTGGGGAGGTTGAAGCTGCAGTGAGCCGTGATAGCACCACTACACTCCAGCCTGCGCAACAGAGTGAGACTCTGTCTCATAAATAAATAAACAAATAAATATTTAAAGGATCCTCTATTGTTTTGAATACTTTTAAAGGCTTTCTGGATAGCCTAATATAAGGTTTATATTTTGTTCCACTGCTAGGATTATTGCTTAGGAGCTTTCCTATGAGTTTCAGAAGTTTTATCCTATAAATTCAATTAGTTTATATCAGCTCTGATAATATGCAGGGAATGTTGAAGATGAATCTACTTTGTCCTGTAGCCTCTTGTTTCTCATAGAGATGTCCCTGTTGGACTTCAAAATCTGGCAACAGAGTAATATTGTTAATTAAGTGTCTAAACTAGATTTTACATAAGAGAAACACTTTAAAGCAAACCTACTAGTTTGTTACCAAAAAACTGAGAAGTAAGCATTTCTGACAAACGTAACACTAACCTTGACCACAAAAACCATAAAGAAGTCTCCACTCTATTCACTCTTTACTGTAAAAAGTGACCGGAAGCTGTGTGTTTGCCCCCACGCAAATAGAAACAGATGACATATTACCCCGTTTTCATTGAGCATTGGGAGTAATGTTTTATTTATGATAGATGTTTTTGTTACATAAAATGAAATTTTGGTCAGTTGTAAGCTCTTTTTCCATATGAGGTGAAAAATGTTCAATCTTAAAGTAATAGAAGTCAAATTACTACTGATAAAAAATACATTCAGAAAACTAAAGAAAACTTATTGCACAAATATTTTAACCTTTTGCTGTTTCAATAATGAAAGTCGATTAAATGGACTAGGGAGACTTTTATTTATTTATAGTATGTTCATTCTTTAAAGTTTTTTATTATGGGAAACTTCAGACAACCAAGGAAAGGATATTAAAATAAACCTTTATATCTCAGCATGCGGCTTGAATATATATCACTGTTTTGCTAATCTTGTTCTGTGTATTCTTTAATACATACTGTATTCATTGCTTGGGTATTTAAAGCATAACTAGGTATCACATTTCTTTATCTAAAAATGTTTCAGTATGCATCTCTAACAGATGAAACATATTTTTAATAACACTATCAGCCTTTATCACATTTTAACAATAATTGCATAATACCATTTTATACCCAGTCCATATTTAAATTTCTCTGGTGATCTTAAAAATGTCTTTTTAGGGTTGATTTGTGTGACTCAGGATCCAAACAGGTCTATGATATATTTGATTATGCCTCTTAAGTGTCTTTTATTCTGTAACAATCGTCTCTACCTTCTCTTTTTAAATGTCATTGATTTCTAGAGAAATTGGGTCATTTATCACAGAGAATGTCCATATTCTATATGATAGAATATGGAACTGGTTGCTTCCATTCTGTACTTTTTGAGTTGGCTCCTCCTATCCCCTGTATTTCCTATGAAGATATAATTAGATCTAGAGGCTGTATTAGATTTGAATTTGGGGGAAGGAGGAAATATAATACTTTGTAGGTGGGACTATGTATTTCCTAATGATTCACAAAAAGAGGTGCATAATGGCTGCCTGTCCCATTTAGTGATCCTAAGACTGATGTGTTTAGGTGGCCTCAGCGTGGTCTCTCACAATAAAATTCTCCATCAAATTTTCACCGAATGGTTTAGAATCTTTTGATTGCCCAGATCTATTATTTTATTCAGGAGTTATAAATAGGAATTTTCTTATTCTATTATTCTTTCTCCCTATTTTAGCCAATGATAAAGAAGAAAGTTCTCTTATCTGCTTTTTTATTTTCCATATATATTGGTTTTATTAGGTTGGTGCAAAAGTTATTGCAGTTTTTGTCATTACTTTCAATAAGAAAGGCAGGATAAATTTTCATTGTTATAAGTTGATGCTCTGATTATTTCCAAGGACGACCAGTGACAGTGTTTGTTGGTTGGGTTTTTTTAGGGCCAATAAGAATGCATTGATTTTTACATATTTAATGGATTTTTATCTATATATCACTTATCCATACCTTATGATTCTTTTAGTCTAGCTGAAATATGCTTGATTATTTACTTTGGTGAACTATAATACTGAAAACTTCTTAAAGTCAAGCTTATGTCTTATTCTTTGGTTATTCTTATCAAAATAATATACATTAAGTAGATAAGCACTAAATATTTGTGCCACAGAATTGAATAGACTTCAGTCTGTGTAGAATATTTAGGCTGGAAGAGGACATGAGAGATTGTTTAATCTAAACAATTAGATTGTTTAATTTAATCCTGTCCTCAGGAAAGTAGCAATTGAAGTCATTTAGGGCAGATAAAATAGTTAGGTCACTGTGCATCTCAAAGAACCTAGGGACAAAGATTCCACAACTCCTAGAAGGCTATTCCAATTATTATTTTTAAAACTCTTACCTCATATTGTAGATCAATATGTTCTTTTTATTAATTCCTTTTCTAGTATTCTAGTGGAAATGAAAAAACATTCCTCGTACACATTTCCTTTTCCATATTTCTTTAAGCCAAGAAATTTGTGTGCTTCTGCTTTTATTACTTCAAAAATGAACTTTTACTCCAAGTTAAATGTTATTTTTTGGTTGTTTAAATTGGTTATTTATAGTCTTCCGTGACTGTGTTTGCATTAATTGCTCCTAATTGATTAAGCAGCCATACATTAGTTTCCTGCTGCTGCTAAAACAAATTACTACAGATTTGGTGGTTTCAAGCATTACAGATTTATTATCTTGCAGTTGTAGGTCAGAAATCCAACATGGGTCTCACTGAGCTAAAATCAAGGTGTGGGCAGAGCGGCATTCCTTTCCGGAGGCTCTCAGGGGAGAATCTGGTTTTATGTCTTTTCCAGCTTTTAGAGGCTACTGCATTTCTCTTCCACCTCAAAGTCAACAACAGTGGGTCAAGCCCACATCACATCACATCACAATCACATCACATCATCACAATCACATCACAATCACATCACATCATCACATCACATCATCACATCACAATCACATCACATCACATCACAATCACATCACATCACATCCAATCACATCGCAATCACATCACATCACAATCACATCACATCATCACATCACAATCACATCACATCATAATCACATCACATCACATTACATCATCACATCACATCATCGCATCACATCACAATCACATCATCACACCACATCATCACATCACAATCACATCACCATCACCATCACCATCACATACCCTGGCCTCCTTTCCTGCTTTCCTCTTGTACTTTTTTTGTTTTGTTTTGTTTTGTTTTGTTTTGAGACAGAGTCTCGCTTTGTCACCCAGGCTGGAGTGCAGTGGCGTGATCTCGGCTCACTGCAAGCTCTGCCTCCCGGGTTCACGCCGTTCTCCTGCCTCAGCCTCGGAGTAGCTAGGACTACAGGCACCTGCCACCTCGCCTGGCTAATTTTGTTGTATTTTTAGGAGAGACAGGGTTTCACCATGTTAGCCAGGATGGTCTCAATCTCCTGACCTCGTGATCCCACCCGCCTCGGCCTCCCAAAGTGCTGGGATTACAGGTGTGAGCCACCACACCCAGCCTCCGCTTCTACTTTTAAGGGCCCTTGTGGTTGTAGTAAGTTCATCTGGATAATCCAGGATACTTTCCCTATTTTAAAATCAGCTGATTAGCAATTGTAATTCCATCTGCAACCTCAATTCACCCTTGTCTCGCAACCTAACATCTTCACAGGTTCTGGGGATTAGGATATAAGCAAGCTTTGTTGGAGCATTATCCTATCTGCCACAAGCTATATGTTTAAAATTTGCATCTCTGTTCATTTCCCTTTCTGGTATCAGTTTACTGTGCGATAAATCTCAACTCTGCTCATCTGTAATAGGTGTATTTTTCACAGACATGCTGTGGCGGTTTAGTGTTTTGTAACTGTAAAGTGATGAATTGAAGTCCCTTGAGTGCAAAGTGCTACACAAGAGCAAAGAATCTTTATTTCTTCATGGGGGAAGAAAAAAAAAAAAGCATCACTTACAGCTCCTGCTCTTACTTTCTTTTGTAATAAGGTAGTGGTATGTTTTTCAGTTGCATGGAACTACACCCAAACACAGTGAATTACCCTCAGTTTCAAAGCAAATATTAAGTACAGCCTTGTCTGACACATTTCATTTGTTTAATGATATGTTTACCATCATTTTTCATTTTACCATTGAATTGA